GACAAATAGCGACGATAGAGAATTTTTTTTGGTTCTTAATCTCGTTTAACAGAGTGAGAGGGCCTCAAAAGGGAGAGTCTTGATAACTTGGTTGATCTTACCTCCATATTGAGAGAGGACTCAACAAGTGTGTCTACCATCTGTTTGCCAATGGTCCCATGCATCACGTTACCTACAAGCCAAACAACACAAACATGCTGGTACATCAGTTGCAATACATAGCTTAGTGTTAACACTTAAAAGAAATCAAACTGCACACTTTGCATTCAAAGCTTTGGTTGCTGCAGGTGGTTGTTGAATTGTCTCCCCACATCAGTGATACCCTGAATTGACAATCAGCATAACAATGTACAGTGTGTACAGAAAGATGTCACTTTATGATGTCAATGATTTGTGTCTGACACGTCCCAGCCCCCACAAACCAAAATTCTGTACAGGCCTGTCAGGTTCCTGAGAGAATAAACCACAAATATTACCAGCCTTAGAAGTGTGGGATGCACCACTTCATGCCACCGGATCATACAATGTCAAATGACAATTGCTTGTTATTAGGCAGTGTAGGGCACAATATTATGTAGGCTTTGAGTCACTCTGCACCCAATACCTGATCTTCATTATGTTACTTTATTGACTATGTTGCTCTTATCTTATTGAAACACTCGACACTGTCGAGACACGGAAATTACAGCTGAAAAGTCAGTAGCTTTAAAATGGTGACGGTGATAACACAAAACAGGTCCAGGTGAGTAAGGGACGGTGACCATTTAGATCCGGTATGGATAGGGCCCGACCCTACCCAGTCCGGTATTGAGCCAGGCCGGTATTCAGCCTGCCCTAGTCTGGTACACAGGCTTGTCTGGCCTGTGCCCTTTGAAGTCAGTGAGACGCATCAGTTTATTGCCTCTCAGAGAACAGCGAGAGCTGAACAAAAGAAGACTTACCAGATTATAGCTGACTGGCAAGAGTTAACCGAAAAGTCATTCCTGCTGCTGCTGGCTTGAGGTGAATTGTATTAATTAACTGATGGGCAGATTGAAACTTTATAATGTTCCATATCTTGATTCTATTGAAGTAGTAGGTGTTAAGTAAACACGAAAACAAAGAACGTTTAACTTCCTTTAGCATGCAGTGCCAGCGTTTGCATCGAGGTGTGATATTTTTCACGTGTAACGCTGACTGCAATAAGGGCACTCCACGAATGGATCGGGCTTGGTCCGGATTTCTTCTAGCTGGACATAATTTTCAGATGAGTATGTTTATGTTCTGCCTTATGTTTTTGTTAAAACCAAAAGAATATAGCTCAAGAGTAAATATATCAAACAAGGGGAACGTGAATAAGAGTCACGGGCTAGCAAAGTATTGGCAAATGTGGTGGTTTAAGGGGGCACTATTTGCAAAACCGCACGGCAGGGGCTTTGATGTGCCAGGGGAGAGGCTGCATTGTTACGCTCCTGGCCAACAACTGGGCAGTGTACGGTTTCATTGTGTTAAACCACATGGGTTGTAGCTTTTTCAGAATGCTCGGGAAGATTTCTATTGTTTAGTGTAAAAATGTGACAGGGGTTTCTTCTGGGTTAGATTGTGCCAGTCAAACTACAAACAATAAACTCTAGAATGGATGAGTGTTTGATCAACCACCAGACCAGTCTCCAAGTCCGGTAGCAGGTCCGGTATGAAAGGGGTTTTTGCTACCGGACTAGCTTACCGGGAGCCCTTCCCTTACCGGATCTAAATGGTCACCGTACCTAAACAATCACTTCTCTGACAGAGTGGATTACCTATACTTATTAAAACTTGCAAGAAAGTTATTGGAGAGTGAAATTTGACAGACCCAATGTGACAGCTGAATTCAGCCGATGTCTCTCACTGTTTGTATTATAGACTAACCTGAGGAGATGGCATAACTGCGAAGGCACCATACTAATACATGCATTATTGTTGGTAAATCCCGACACCCTATTGGTTGACATGGCATATGACATACATGTACCACTTCTCCATGAAAGTTATGCCACTGCAAAAATAGCTTCTAATTTTGGTTGTCGAATTGCACAACACAACTACTTCATCAGCCACAGCTACCATAAAACCAGGTTCATTTTATACGTGACACATTATCTCATAAGGCGTCAAGGGGTGCCGGACAGGGGAGAGTCAGAGCCTGCTTGTGGGCGTCCTTCACCCACCTTCCAACATGCTGAGCAGCAGCACCACCATCTCCTTCTGCAGGTTGAGCAGCTCCCGCAGCAGCTCCAGCTGGCCGGGGTCCTGGGAGAGCTTCTTCTGGAGGTTGGCGAAGACGTGTAGGAAACCGCCCACTGCGTCCCACAGCCTGCTGTGAGCCAGGGCCAGCTGGTTGCCCGAACAGGGTCCCTAAGGGCAGAATCCATGCATATGAGCACGATCAGTCCTAGCACCACGTTAAAACTTCACCAGATCTGGCTTGACATACTCATCGAGAAATAAATGCAAATGATACAAGTGCTTGAGGGGTAAAGACGACAACCTCCATTCTCAGGTCAAAAATGGCTTTGTTAACCACTTGCTGCTGGGGGACCCGTTTCGAGCACATAGGCTTTATACACGGAGCTGGGGAACCCGAAATGGGACAAAGGGAACTGGGCCTTGTAACAAAAGACTGTACTCGGAACAAAAGACCAGGCTGCTGGGCATTACCCACATTTTTCACTCTCAATAGTGGAGATAATCCAGCCTTTTTTTGCCTTCCCTGCCTCCAGCCTTCCCTGTGGGACAAATGAACTGCCTGCAAGATGGCCACCATGCAAAGCCTCTATAGACAGACTTGTTAATGAACTCACTAATATTTTGTGTTAAAATACTCTACCTGAATGTATTCTGTCAGTGTTCTGAATATTTGCTTGGCTACTTTGAAAGCCCGGGAAAAGTTCTCACGGCCCTGGTACAGAATAAAAAAACAAGGTAATTTCAAGGACTTAGGACATCGTCAGCACTACAGTGTAATAAATCCCAATCTGCGGATCTTTGCATGCTGCGGCTTACACTCCACACGGCCTACATTCCCAAGATTATGGTATGCTTAAAGCACATGCTGTAGAACTTATTTGGTAGCTTGAGTTTAAATTCAAACTCTTGTCGAAGTCAATGCCTCTGATGCTGACTTGGACATAAGCCTGACAGAAGACACTGGACTCAAATTACAGGATGCAATGAAAAATACTGCTAAGTGATCTTTGACATTTTAATGTCAAACACCTCACCTGCTGATCTACGACATCCTTGCCTGAGTAATGCCAGTAGAAGTCACTGATTGATTCCTGAGTAATGGAAAAAGGAACAATACCTCAGATAAGCTTAAAGGCTGCTTCAAACTTCATGGACGGCAAAGTTTGTGACATAAGGGCAAATTTGCGCACAACAAACTTGCAAAAATTGAACACTTTCAACTCCAGTAAAGTTTGTCACAAATGTTTTCTGACATCTTATGTGCTTCAAGTTATGCATCTGCATCTAGTATGAACCTGCATTAATTTTCTGGAACCTGTTTCTGAGACCTTTAAGGGGAGCAACAAATGTAAACAAAAAAACACAAAGCAAAATCTTTAACAATAGAATACAAGAGTTTTTCGTTTGATAAAATAAAACAGTCATGTTTATGCACGCAGTCAGATTCTGCTAAACAAAGTTAGAAAAACTCTGCCTAGTGTCTCTGTGAAAGTTTGGATAAGATTAGCAGCAGATATGAAAGCCAACCTGCAGTCGAAGGAGGTAATCCACTGTGCATATGATGATGTTGACGGTGGTATGGTTGCCAGTCTGCGTCCTCAGGTAATTCTGGAACTCTGTGGGCACGTGAAATGAGGCGAGAATATTAAATGGAGGAAGTAGGCAGCATATGAATCACATGTTGTGCACCCGTACCTTTGACCTTTGACATGCCAAGATAAACTACAATTTTGACTCAGCCTCACTGTCCGGCACACTTCATTTTTTTTCAGTTTTTATTACAGCGTCTGAAAAAGCAAAACACATACACAAAAACACCCCAGAAAATTAAACTTTTTTGAGCCTTGCTACACAAAGCTATTTGAGAATAAGGTTCCTCGAAAGATAGACAAGTTTTCCTTAACTCACCCAGATTATGTCCCTCACAGAGCAGCTGAAGGAACCGGAACAGAGCACAAGTAAACGGAGCATCGTGGAGTGCCTTCTCTCCTGATTGAAGCAACCACAAACAAACATACACACTTGGTGACATGCTTCTTGAAAAATGCATTACTCAGCATAAACTTGGAAAAGGACCGTCCATCACCAGCACGCTACAGGCCAGCATAAAATATGATTGCGTTTCTGTTTTGTAAAGCAGAAAGAAAATGTCTTTATAATTCTTACTCGCCATACTTTTTTTCAGGAAGAGACGAAATATTTCTTGGAGCAAAATCTCCTTTGAAGAATAAAGTTACATGTTTGTGTCACAATATTGTCTTATAAAAAGGTTCAAGTTGCAGACTTCGAAAAAACAAAATAAAGTATCAGGAAGTTCCAAACCATCAGTGTTTTTCATCTCACAATTGAGAAATTGTCTTCCTTTGGAGTCCTCCAAAATGTAGCAGATGACAGACTACCTTGTGTGGCTGGGTGTTTGGAGTAATTAAATTGTGTGTGACAAGTTCATGATATCAGTTTGTGGATACTAATGGTGATTACGTGTGTATTCCAACAAAGTGCCCCCTCATACATGTACATGGCTGCGTGTGAGTGAAGACAACAAACACAAATCACTGATCTAAAAAACCCTCATCTGTGTTGATCACGTTTTAGAATGTTGAAAGTACACACCTTCTGATTCACTCAAGGGAATCAATTTGTAGCGATTTATGGTTGGTGTTCACTGCACTTTTGTTGATAGCATATGTAAAGTACATACTGGAAGGTGCACGGACTACTCAGCAATTCTAACCTATATGATGGATGTGATTAACTACTAGAGTGCCAGACTAATTTCTCATCCTTAACAGTTTTACAACAATCAGTGAAACCAATAACTTGGTTGTCTATACACTGCTATATCCATTAACACCATGATCATGTTTTTTCAGATGAAGCTGTAACACTTTTCACCAGGTGATGGTCACTGCTGTTCACGATGAAGTGGACAAGATGAACAAGTATTTTTTAGTCTTGTACGTAGACACAACTTTTCTTCACAGTCATCTTCAATTCTTGCATAGAGAGCTTTGGTCTTGCATATAAGCATGCACACACACAACACAGCTAGGCACATCATAAACAAGATGCGATGCACACGGTTTGTACTTCACGCAAACCCAAGAAATCCTGGCAAAATTTTCCCCAGTGGGTTGAACTTGAACAAGTTTTGCAGAGCTAATATTTGCAATTGACATCATGAATTAGCCACTTGTGAGTTAAATTTGAATAAAATCTGGTACACTGTGTTATCTGATTGCATAGAAATGTAACAATTTGAATTCCCCAGACTAAAGACACTGTTGCTAAACCTCGTGATTCGGGGCAAGCTTTTGCATAGCGACCACCATCTCTGGAATGGACTGGTTCCTTTGAGCCGTTCTCATGCATTGAGAACAGTGTATTGTTGCAAGGCGTCTCTTATGTAACTAAGCAAAAGCTTGCCCCGAATCACGAGGTATAGCAACAGTGGTTTTAGTATGGAGAATTCAAGTTGTTATGTTCACGTGAATTTAAAGAACTCAGTGTACCAGATTTTATTCAAATTTAACTCGCAAATGGTTTATCAATACATGTTTGCATTTGCATGAAGAACAAAATGTGATTTATAATGGCAGGTAAGTCATCTCACTTGAGTTCGTTAAATTTCATTGCAATATCAATCCATTCAAATTGCTTTATTTTTGGAGACCTTTGAAATACAGTAAATGTTGGGCATTCAGATTTGTGCGATTCCAAACTTACATCTGCCCATGTGATCTGTGACCTTATAACTGACTTGACTCTTGGGCCTTGTGCCTTTCACACACCAAAAGTCTTCCTTGAGTCTCCAAATTCACACAAAAGGTAACTAACTCATGAGATGATTTTGCAATTAACCTTTTTCCCACAACCCACAAGCATTCAAAATCTACTGTAGCATGCTTCAAACAACAATATTTTTTCAGCTACATGAATACCAGATTTTGAGGATCTTATATATTGCACACACCTAGTTGTTCATTTTAGCAGTTCAGTTTGGAACTGATTGCAAATGATCATATTAACCTGTGAAACTGTGTGTTTATAAATTGACTTCTGCGAATCGTTTTTTTCTTGCTGAACGAAAACATTTTTCTCTTTCTGCAACAAACAGTATAATAAATTGTGCAGTACATTTACTAGTGAATCTAAAAAATGGACAATGGGTTATTAATGAAAAAAAAATATATTGCAGTTCTGTAAAAGAAAATGGTTAGATGTCCCACAAGACTACAAGTAAAAGGGAGAAAATCTCTATTAATAGTATGATGTACTATGGAACAAGATTCCGTCTTAGTACTTCATCAGGCTTCATATACAGTGTGCATTAATTGCTGACTAACTCTAGCAAGACAAAATGCATTACATGCAGCACTACATGTACTATTCATCTATGTATAGCTCCTTTCTTTGCATTTTGTGTCACATCTCCTACTGTCCTTTAATGTCGGCCATCTTTGATGTTAAGCCAAGTCCGAATCTGTTGTGGCTGTGACTCTGGTTTTGTCATTAGCACACCACAGTGAACAGCCACAGACAATAGCGTCTGTTCAAAACCCAAGTCCAACATGAAAGATGTCGAATCGAGGAGCTTTGTGGGAAATGCATGACATCAGTGCAAGAAATCTACGTCTGCATTGCCAAATCAAAACAGCTATATGGAACTTACTGAACTCAGTCAGGAAATGAACATCTGGGAGATGAGTAGAGGCAAGGACATGCCATGCAAGATACATGTACCAAAAAAAAAAGAGCAAACATCATCACCAAATCAAACACAAAAACAAAGAAAATGATGTTAAGAGCTGGGAAAATGGACAAGAGTAATTCAGGGAGGAATGAGGGGTTGGGGGAAAGGGATGTTATAGTGAGTCATGGAAATGGAATATGAAGCAACAAAATGGATTACATTTGTCTTCATGTTACTATTAAATCAAAAAAGAAAAATCACTGGGGTCAGCAAAATTGAAAAGCTTGAATAAATGCCAATTGCAGAATGGTATAATGGTTGGAGCTTTGTGCAAGCAGAAGAATGGGTGTATTAAATCAAATTTTACAAATTAAATGCAAACCCAATAATTGGTCACATTTCATTGATATAGCCACAAAAAGGACCGAGTTTGAAATCAACTCTCACTCATACTTGTGACATTTGTAAATTAATATTTTTCAAGAAAACCCTTATTTAAAATTGCCATCTATCTTGGAATTTCTTGTGAATGTAAACCATTATGTATGGATTTGCAATATGGGATTTGGCATTTGTAAATCAGGCATTCATTGATACTCTCACTGGAGCATTTCATCGAGCAAATGTTTTTTGGCAGCAGAAATGAAAGGTTCCTTGATCATCGTTTTTCTCTGTATTTGAAAGGTTCTTCTTAAACAGAGCCAGGCAGAAGGCCATGTTGGGGAAACTGAGGCGGGGGGTTAATTTGTCGACCACGATGCCGTGTTAGTGTTGGACACAGGCACAAGCACGTTGGATCTCTTTCCATGTATATACTCACAGCAACACTACATTCAAAATATGCCGATGGTTTTTATGTGAAGGCTAACAAGAAGATAAAAGGATGTGACCAAAGAAAAGAAGAGAGTTTGACAAAACTGAATGTTTGAAACTCAAACGTTGGAATATCTGATGCGAAACAGTTACAGGAATGGTCTGATGCATGGCTTCAAGCAATCCTAGCGCGTTGGAACTATCAATGGCAAGGGGAATAGTTTTGATTTTTTTTTCCAACAGGTTTCAAATAGTTTTGAGCAACAAGGTTATCCAACTTTGCAGGCTGGTATGAAGGGATTCCCAAGCCACAATGTATTAGTACACAGGATTGATTCTCTTGTCAAGTCCTTCTTCATGGGGAGTCGGGTAGGCAGAGCAGTGCTGTCTTTGCCATCAACCTCTGTGACCCGGGTTTGAATCCCACCCAGGCCAGCATGTGGGCAGTGCCATCCACCTCTGTGACCCCGGTTTGAATCCCACCCAGGCCAGCGTGTGGGCAGTTTTTCAGTCCCTACCTGTTTCCTGTGGGCTTTCCCCAGATTATTTCTCCAGGGTTTTTCTCCCACTACTGAAACCTTTCTTCGCTTTCTTTCAACTGGTTTCTTATAGTAACCTTGTGAGGTACAGTGCTACATAAGCGCTGTTTATAAAACCATACTTCAACACCAGAAATAAATAAATAATTCAGCTATTCTTATATTAGAGTAATGCTAATGATAATCCAGTATGGATTTTTTCCTATGAATTTATCTATTCCTGTCATCAGTAACATGAGGTAAGGACTCTGGAAATCATTCTCATCACATAGAGAATCCCATTGTATCTTGTTATCAAACCTAGGGTGTACCATCAGATATATACAGCCAGGCACAGCATGTGGCAATGAATATTGTCCATGAAGTACTTTACAGAATGGTAGCAAGAACAGATGAGATGAAGTCAGATGTTAAACAGTTCAACAACATCAGCTCAAACACTACGGCCAGACCGAATTCAACAAGCCTATCAAGTGACATGGATTCATTTCCTTCATTCCATGCTGATCATTACTTTTATCATGCTCACTTGAGATCAACAGTTTCTATGGTAACTGATCAGATGGGGGCAAAAACCAGAGAATTCAAATGTTGCACTTTACACTTTCATGTCACACTTTTCAGCCGAGGATTAAGTTGCTATGCATCAACTTTGCTCTGTTATGCCTTAAAAGCCTGTAAGTCCAGGAAAACATTAATGAAGAAAAGCCATTTAAAGAAAGAATTAGGTTGCAGCAAAGAACAGTAAAATGGATTTCTTGTGGTGTCATTACCTGCGGCAGACTCACCAGTGACTGTTTGGGAGGGGAGAAAAAGCAAACAAACAAACTTGACATGCAGTTGCTAGGCAACCAATCAAAGTGCAAGAACAAATGGGGGTAAGAATGTGATGAGAAGTTATTTGGTAGAATTGTAGACAACCATTCCGCAGCCTTTTGCGTGAATTCCAGTTCACAAGAATCCCAAATGTGGATTTTTTAAGAGAGATCACCACAGTTTCCAAGAAACTAGGACTGAAGAGAAAGTGGAATAACCCAACTTTCTTTTAACTTTCAAGTTGACGGGTGAAGTTGCGCAAAGGCTTGGGGAACTGTGACCTAATACATCTCTCAATGAAATATACTTTGATCTTTAGTTGACAACGTCAAAAATCAAACATCAATGGAGTTAATGTGAAATGACTGGGTTTGCAAAAATATTTTTTCAACAGCAAGGGTAGAAAAACAAAAGCCCTCAAAACACGAAACTATCTTGAGGAATAAATCTGTTCAAAAAACATCAACAAACAACAGCGCATGCACGAATAAAGGACAATCTTCAAGTTTGTTTTTGCAAACTACAGCAGCTTTAACTAAACATGTGTAACTACAATAAAACTCTGACAAAATTTCAAGACGGAAAAGGAAAAACAACAACTGTATACAAGATAAAAACATGTGGACAGTTTGGAAGGCCTAAACACGCTTTGCCAGTTAAACTTGAAAGTAAGTCTGGAACACTGTGACTTGTTTAATCATTTAAACTTTTGATCTTTGAGTTCTCCTGACGACAGACACTGTTCTTACCCCACATGATTTGAGGTAGGCTCTTTCACTGTTCACAATAACTGAGAATGGTGCAAAGGCAACCGACCATTTCAGACACAAATCCGACTCTTCACAATTAAACAAGAATAATTTTAAAAGCTCAGGATGCCAGACATTACTCAGATTAACCCACAAAAGGCTAAGAACTTATTAGGGTTACAGTAGAAGCATGTCTACTGCCAACTGACGTTGAGACTAATGTGACATTTAGGTTATTTTATGAGCTCCCCTAATGGCTCAACAAACAATTCAATTCTCTAAATGTGATCATTTCAATGGTAATACTTTCTGCTTCTCCAACAGGGAGATACGACTAAATAATGCGCATGCAGCCCTGTTCATGTGTAATATATCAGAGCGTGCCCAAAACTCTTCAGGCAAACACTACAAATTTGCCTGGATCTTATCTTACCAGCCTATGCTTATCTTACCAGCATTCTCCCCAGAGCTAACACCCAGTCCCTCAGCTTTGTTGTATCTCTCGTAAGCCTCTAAATCCAACACACTGTTAGAGAGACCAAAGAAACATACCCATGGCCAATTAGTGCATCGATTGCCCATGTAATTAGATGGGGTAGATATGTAGTCCTTGGTCTACTGTTTGGAAAGGTTTGGTAAACATTGTTTCCCACTTAATGCATTAGAGCAGATTCTGGCAGGTTCTTGGATTCACCACTTTGCATGCTTTGGCAGGGGTTGCTTCAACAAACTTGGGACCTCATACGGACATCTGTGAATTCTAACCTTCCCAAATCTTCCTTACACGAGTGAAAGATTTCACAGCCTTGAAGCAGCACGGCAAAAATATGAGTCTCAGTTCAAAGGATGTTGTGCTGTTGACCCTTACCCATATATAACTTTAGATTCCCAGATAACATTTCAAATCAACCACAACGCTCCAGGATATCAATGTCACTGCTTCAGTGGACAGGACCCGGCAGAGGATCTTGACGGGAAGGCAGTGATCAACCCCCCCCGGCACACTGAACAAATAAAGGAAGCTTCTGAAAGATTGAGGTTGTATCCAATTTGTGATCTGACATTGGTTCACAGACATCAGAACCAGCCTGATGGATGAAGTGAACCAGCACTGGATCACTGATCGACATCCAGGTCTGTGTGAAATAAACAGGCCTTTGGCCTCCTTTCCAGGCACATTGTATATGAATACAGTCATTGTTTGGTTCTTGAACTTAAAACCCTTATATTTGCTATACACCAGGCAGGCAAGAACAGCTTAAGTTAAGAAAATCACAATTTATTTCTTGCAGTACAATTTAATTTTATTAAAGAGTATTTACAAGCACTGACTAGACTCTCACCTGCATGATTCCATCAGCTCAGCTACACTAGTGAAGAACCCAACATCCATCTTGTCTTGAAGATGTGAAAGCATTCTCTGAAAAAAGATGAAGGTCGATTAATACTTGACAAGTCAAATGACTGTTTTTCTTGTGCTTATCTTATGCAAAGAGGTTAATATACCAAGGCAATTTCACAATGCTTGCCCCTTACCTCTTGGACGGCTACATTACCACCCCTCAGGAGGGAGATACCAAGTTGTAGAGTGCACATGACCATAGGGCTGGGCTTACCTATATGTATTTAAAAAAACAAACAAGCAAACTAATGTCAAAACTGTGAGCAGACTTTGTTGGAAATGTTTTTAGTAATTCAATTAGTAAAAATGGGATTTTCTGATTCGGCTGATAAATTAGATTTAAAATTTTTGAGAGGATGCTTTTGCTGTATACTGCATGTCCAGAGGTCATCTGGCACAAAGTGGTTATAAAAGCCATCAATGCCAAAACATATTTTCATTAATAAAAGCTGAGGGAGAGGGGTTCTTTCTGAACTCCTGAGAATCTAACCATCACTGGCGCTGAGAAGCAGCAGGACCATCTCTGCAGCACCTCTGTCGGCCAGCCTGCCTTGCTCAGACAACAATCGCTGCTTGGCTAGCTCTTGCTCCTGTAAAGAAAACAAAATCATGGTATAAACATTTGAACCCGAATGAACAAAAAACGCAGTACAAGACACAAAGCAGTTGTACCCAGTCAGGTAGCATGACTGGTGTACTCAAGTCAGAAGCACTGAAGAGAGAGGGGATGAAAAATGAGCAGCGACACTGCAGGGGAGGACGACACATTCCCCCCTCGAAGGTTCATGCCCTCCCCCATTGAAATGTTGATACGTCCACAACCTATGTACGAGCAGTTTATAGCTGCTTTTACTGAACCTCGCCACCCTCAAACCACCCTCTAAACAAAAAAACCATGCACCCATAGGGGACCCATTGAAATTTACCCCTTGTTATCCCACTGAAAATGACACAGGAATGCCTTCTCCATATTTTACTTCAATAGTTAATGATACGACTTGAGTCTGGATGACTTGCAATTGACTATTTTTGCTGATTTGGTAACAACCCCCGAATAAGAAGTCACTGTGAAGGTAATGCCATGTTTGCAGACAAGATGTGCACCAAATGCCCCTTAACCACTTTGCACCGGGGGACCCGGTATCGGGTACTTTATGTTTGTACCCATAGCTGGGGAGCCCGAAATCGGACAAAGGAGCTGGATCTTGTAACAGAACACAAAACACCAAGCTGCTGGGACTTGAAGAACATTTTTTCAGTTGTCAATAGTGGAGTTAAACCGTCCTTTTTTAAAACACTATACCACTATTTGTGGCATTCAAAACGAAGGATTACAACCATGGACAAAAGCTCTCCAGTGCTGCGGCGCTGAGCAACACCATACCACTGCACGCTAATCTGGCCCCATTGAAAATGACACCAGTAACGAACTGCTCCAGTTTCGAGAACAAAAGAAAATTACGAAACACGGCTCAATCTGGGCTCTCTTTACAAGGCAGGAGACCTAGCTGAAACACACGAGAATCAATAGATGGTGCCTGTCAGATTAAAGTAGCCAACAGACAGTCATTCGTGTGGGTGTAAATGTCCAGTAAATGAAGTGATGAATTTTTGAAGAATTTTGAAAATGGAAAATAATGAAAAACGCCTGTATTTGTGCATGGCCATTTTAATTGAACCCGGCGCAAAGTGGTTAAAGACCAACTGTGTGTGCTTACAACTTGCCAATATACAAGTCCACATCAAATTTAGGAGCACCTACAACATGCACATCACCACCTGACAAACCTACACTACGCAGTCAACGGAAACCATATCAAGTGAAATTCAAATGCAAAAAATACTACTGAGAAGGATGTTTTTTGGATGTAGCTTTGACGTACCTGGAAGGAGATGCTGTCCTCTGTTTCTTCATCATCTTCATCATCGTCACCACTGCAACTCTGAACAGTGGAAAGGAAAATGGCATTGTTACATGCATGTTAATATCTGAGTAGTTTCCCTTAAAAATAAACAGCTTTTAGTTTCGATAACCACTTCATTTTGTCGCTCTTGGTAGTGTGTCCCCCTGTTTAAGGCCAGGCCTTCCCAACTAGAAGACTAAGGCCCCTGGTCAAGCCCCACTTATTATACATGAGCACACTGGCTAAACAGTTCATCTGGAGGAATGCCAGTACAGTGTTACAAGTTCTAATGCCACTTTGGTTAGATTTCTCTGCGTTTATAGTACATTCTCTCACATGTCCGGTTACAAGTAACAGGATGAATAGTGACAAAGGAATGCTTTTGAATAGCTTAGGACTTGGCTGAAGACGGATATGACGTGTTTTTTCATCGTCGGGTTTTTAAAAGCAAATTCATCTCAGATTTCATGGAGAAAATCTGATAAAATCATCGACGGTTACTAGAAACCAACTTTTTAACGTAGAGATTAAAACTAAGAAAGTTACCCTGAATTTGCACCTGACTTGCATTAACCTTGAGAATGTTCCACAATGATTTTGTCATAATGCTAAAGTGTGGATATAATTTCTGTGGTTGCATCATTTTAGGGAAATTCAGTCAAGGAAGTAAGTTTGGTGTATCCTGTGCTGAATATGACATAAGAAAGGCTCCCTCTTTCAGAATTGTACACTTCAACTCAACATCAAATTGCACCCATCTTTACTCTCTGGAGACAATTTCACCTTACTCATGTTCAAGCTACATGTATGAGTATGCAATGAGCAAATAAAGCTAGAGAGTAGTCTCCAATTGAAAGGGATTGTCCAAGACTGGCAACATTTACAAAATCCAGAAATCGTCAACTTTCAAATGTTGGTGTTTACCCTGCTCATGATGTCTGCGTAGGAAGCATACAGGAAGTCCTGTTCCACACCACTAGGACAGGAAAAAAGAGAACAAGTTGTCATCGTCTGACTCTGATAGAAAGTATCACTCAAGCATGACAGCTGTTATCAATACCACTGCCATTTTTGATACACTGTGTTCACTGCTGTTTAAAAGCAATGGGAACCATTTTGGCATCACATATGTTCACTCCTATGCCTTTGTGCACCACTTAGTTGAGAGTTAGCGCATGTGCACTCGATCACTTTACTGTGGATTTCGAGGCATATGACGTATGACGGATGGAGACCACAATTTATTTTAACACAATAGAAACAAACAAAGTTCACGGAAATAACCTGTTAACTAAAAACTGAACAGACAACATTAGACCACCGTATTATTGAACCCAGTTGCATAAAAAGTTTAAACAAATTCTACAAATGGGATTTTAAAAAACATCATGACCAGTTTTGAAAGAAAATACGTCCATGGTCACTCCCATTTAAAACCATTTCTCCAGTTAATCAAAACAAATGAAATAAAGTGAGGTGTGTATCTGAAAAAAACATCGGAAGTAATTTCAAGCTATTGTGAATTGAATATTTTGCACAAGAATCATTTATCCATAGTTGTGTATGTATAGGTGCATCGATAGAGTACATGTACATGAACACACATAAATCATGGCTGACCATCAATCAAGAGATAGCCAAAATTGAAATTGATAAAACTAACGAAGGACGATTCATAATAGCTTAATAAACATTAACACAATCACTTTTTTCAAACACTCTTTCAATTACAAAGATATGCGGCACCTGTGGAAAGAGGATAAAATTCAATATTTCGATTTTAAAATACCCTTTTTATGTTCAGAAATGTAACGTAAACAGACATCTTTCACCCCTTTTTCTCTGAAATATCACTCATGATTAACAAGAAACACATCACAATATGCAATCTAAAGCCTGATTATATTTCTCTGGTATAATTTCAGCAAACTTGTACATAATGCGAAAGATCTCTACAGACGGATTTTGGTATAGTCGTTTGCTGGCACCAACCTTTTAAAAAGCAACAAAAAGTGATCATGACCATTGCCGAATTTAGCACATGCGCACGAACTAAGTGGAAGGGGTGAACATAGGTGGCATAAGTACATGGCTCTGCTAAAAATGAAATGATTGTGTGTTTATAGAACTAGCAAAGAAAGTTTACACAAGCTAGGTACAACTGCAATCCTTAGTTACAGGATGTATATTTTTGGTGCAATCGGTCAATCTGCGCCATCACTTGATCTGTTCACTCAGCTACACTTACTCAACTCTCTGCTGAAGATTTCCCCTTAGACAACAGTATCATCCATTCATGGTTGTAGAAAATTGTTTCAAAAGGGAAAGTGAGGTCTAAGATTTTATACAGCATCAACTGATAACACAAAAAGATCAAGCAATCATGCTGATCAATCGATTACGCCTAACATTCACACGCACACAGGCCTAAATTCAACACTAAGTTCCTAACTCTTGAAAAAAGTTTGTCACTACAGAATTTTCTGCAGAACCATGGAACTGGTCCTTTACTTCCCCTCCATTTTTGTTTAGCACATTTGCTATGCAGAATTTCTGCTGAGCAACCCAAGCGGCAGATTATGAGGTCATTTGTAGGGTGCCTGTCACTGCAAAGTTTTAAGTGGCCAAAGAATTTAATTTGCAGCAGGCCTTGAGTAATCCAAGTGTAGGAGCATGAAAGAATGACCGAACTGAAAAATGTGACTCGCCGTGAAGACAGAAAAAATGACCCGAAGTGCCCTCACAGTGACAGTAATTATACATTTCCATCGTACGAGTTCCAAGAGGTCACCAGGCCCTATAAGCCAAGACAACATTGGTCTTACTCGCGCTGGAGGCCGAACGACCGACTGAATGTCAAGATAAGTTGATGTAGCGGATCTCTACTGCTTTCTTCAGACACCGCCGCCAACTCCTCCCCACTGGACTTCTGGAATGGTAAATCCCAAACAAGAAAAGATTTAGGAATGCTAGCTTTGTGAGTTTAGAGCAGTCCATTACTTGACATGCAAATGCTAAGTGTTTGAAGGCTGTAGCAGAGCAAATTTCAGAAACATAATTTACTTGTGTCTATTCAAGATTACTATTTAGTGTAAACTTGGTTCATAACTTGAAGCAAATGAAGAGCAAATTTTCCACCACTTCAGGCAAAACAATGCCAGGTGAGAATGCAAACAAGTTTTAAAATGTGACTTTATTCATTCAAAACTTGTCGAGGTGAACTATACGAGTAATCCCTGAGATCTCTTCAATCCACAAGGTGGCTTTGGAGAATTTGTAAGGATTGAATATAGAATACAATAATGACTGTTTCCTTACGTTGTCTCCTTACAAGTTTGAGGGTTTGAGGGAAGATTCCGCAAGGTTCCTGACTAGATGAGCCCACCCCCAAGTGAGTTTGGGTTAAAAAGTTGACAGTAATGCTTACGGTGAGGTCTTCAATCAGTAAATGCTGAGCTGAGTCCTCCACAATCAGCCACTTTTCCTTGTAGGCTCGGAGGAAGTAGTTGATAGCACGATGCCTACAGAGAGAGGGATTTGAACAAACTGAGGCTGTTAAGAAGACGCAGCTGCTGGAGATAAGCTGGATTGTTGGTATCACAGACTCTGTGACATAATTGTATATGACACTGTGTGGCCGATGCACAGGGAACCGATGAAGGGCAAATTGTATGTGCACACTGGTTTGTTAAGTATATATGGAAAGGAGGTGATTTTCAAATCCATGCACGCAAACCCACAAGCAGCAGAAAACTGAGTGCTGAACGCAATGTGTAGAAACCAACTTTCTCCCACAATGCACTGCAGATGGGGTGGGGATTTGTGCAGACAACAGCAAGGATCCCAAGCGATAAACTGAAAGCTAATAGCTTCAGTCAGCTGCAGATTCGTCTTGACTCACTTGGGCAGATGGTGGAGTGGGATCATCCTGAAGCAGGCCATGATAGTTCGACGTCTCTGAGCTGACATGAGCCGCCTCCAAGCACTCTTCTTGGAGAGCGGGGGATGCTCCATCTGAAACCAAAGATCAAAACATGAGTTTCTCAGGAAAGAGCCTGCAGTGGGCAACAGTGAAGAACAGTGTTATGGTTTGATACTACACAAGTACTTTACGAGTATTATGATTAGTTATCACACTTGTATTGTCACAAGTACTGTCATCATCGACATGAGTGAACAGTAAAAATGGACTCCCTCTTTACACAATTTACATGAATAGCTAGTGTCTTGAGTTGAGACTGAGGCACTTTCAAGGTACTCCTGACTACTTTGGCAGCAACTGTGAGTACTATGAAAGTCTCGGGGAAATACTTAACCACAGTACTGATAGAGATAGTGAAGGAAGCAGCGAGGGAGATAAGGAAAGGTTCACAGACACAAAAGGTTCAAAAGACCAAAAGAAAGAGGGTGAATAATGACTAAGGTCCTTTGGTTGCATATCGTTTAAAACAGCTTGTGATTTGAATTCAGACTGGGGACCTTGTGATGGTCTTGTGGGGTATTGTGATGGTCATCAGAGGACTTGACTACAAAACTGGAGAGGAAAATTCAAAATAAGGGCCCAGTTCTCACCAAATGGAGTCTGTGCAAAACCAGGGCCATATTGATGATCCTGTCCACAATCTTCTCCTGAGTCATCTCCACGGCGTACACCATGCGATTGGACGCTGCCTTGTTGTACAGATGTCGCTGCCAATTCTTGGCCGCTTGCTGTTTGGAAATACAACGCAAAACAGCACAAGAATTCAATGCAACTATGCATATGAGCAGGGAAAGCACACTCAATCACTTCAGCCATGCTTTGATTTCCTTTTCAAGCATTCCTTCAGAATATGTGCAAAGCACTGAAAAAGAGCTTTAAATTTCCCTGTGGAATGGCCGGGACTCAATTTTATCCAGTCAATTTTTCAATTGTGATTTTTAAGGGATACTGCCAAGTGTGGAAGTAAGTTTACTACAACTAGTTGAAGCTAGGAAGCATGCAGAAGGCAAATGCATTAAAAAATCTGGGAGACACAGTAAAGCCAAACATTTGGTGCATCTACGTAGTAAATGGATACAAGCTACTGTTTTTTTATCAGTTGCAAAATGGACACGAAAACCAGACCAACATAAGCCACAAACTGATGGAGAGCAACAAAATTCTTGCAGACAGATTACATTTGGCTGGAATAATGGGCTCCTTACCCCAAACATGAGAACCTAATAGAAGTAGATCATTATTTTGGTCGCGATCCATGCAAAACATTCAACAGTCAGTTTAGGCTTCTCTGCCTCTTTTTCAGGAGTAAATATTGCATTTACTACTGGAAAACACAAACTTCAGTTCATTTCAACAGTGCTTCTTATATCAAATTTTTCATCTGCGGCTTTTTGGATTGTGAGTTCAAGTGATCATGAAAATAAAAAACTTTCCTGTATTGAAACACCGTTGGGAAACATTCAAACTTGCGGGCTAAATATACAATTAATATCATAATCTTGAGTTCTCCGATGTTTTCAGAACAGTGCCTAGGTCATTTATTTCTGACAAAACTAAGTTTATTATGACAATACTTCTTGTACCCAATTATTCATTCTTAATTTTACACTGTGACTTCAAAAATGATCAAAAAAGGTCTCTTGCATTGAAACATTGTTGAGGTCAAGTCTATGACGAGCAGGATCAATATTTTTGTCACAGGTGAATAACAAAATTCAACACACAGATCCATTCATAAGTATCAGACTTAATAAAGCCTAGTTTCCATCTCCACGTAAACAAACGCAGCCAGCATCACCGAACAGTCTCTGATGATTCATAATCATATGAAAAGGCTCTAACTGCGACTGACACAAACATACATGTAGATGCACATAGTCGGCAAAGTAGGATCATCTCCAACTCTGCCGAGTCTCTCCACTGATCATCAGCATAGGCCCATTTAAACAATCATGCTGGCATACAAGGTCTCTCTCACTTGAGTACCATGCATGTGGCCTATTTTCTCCTGGCAAATGAGTTCCTACAGTGTAGTTGTCAAGCAAAATAGCTGACCACGCATGGCATACATTAAATCGGGTTGGCTTCATGGAGTGGTATAAACCACGTAAAAGAGGCATTTTATACATTAGGTTACAGAATTTGATTTCATTTCGCTTTCAGTTTTTGAACAAATGATATCACACAATCTCTTCCACAATCATCTGTGCATTAACATCCTGTGTACTGTAGGCAATTAGTGTCAACATAGTAAACTATTTGCACTGCCGCTTTGTTCAGGCTCCAGAGTCTTTTGTCTCAGGTATGGGCAGAAAGATTCGAGCGTAGACACATAGTCCGAGCAAGCGACCCTTTTCCTTGGGGGTGGGGGGATGATATTTTTTCAAAGACACGTTCCTCCTCAGACTTCATGTGTTACAACCAGCTCCTACCTTGTTAAACTATGCTCCCACTTATTGCTGTCTGCCCTTTACAGCAACCCAGTTTCATACTGATGGCCTCTTGCGCCCTCACACTCGTAGTGATGCAAATAGTAAACTAGGTTTAACTTGTGGCAGACTTGTGATGGATATAACAGCACATTACACCGAAAATAAGCTCAGTCAAATTCAAGCCTTTGAGGAAAAAGTGAATTTCAAGGAATCTTTGAGGACTCCAAGCAAAAACTTTTATCCCATCTCATAAAAAAGTCAATGAACATTTATGAAGACAGAAAGATACGAACACTTGCGGTTAGAGAAGGCCGCCTCGGACATGCACTAGGAGGCGGAGCTACCGAGGAAGCAGGGGCGGATCTAGCTTTATGAGGTTTGTGAAACGAGGACGAGGGCTTGGCAGACAGGGACGTGGACAAGTTAGAGGAACGTCTTCTAGAAAAGGTGGAGGAGCAGGGTGTGCAGGTCTTAGGGGAAGAATCACTGGAGTCGACCTCTTTGTCCTGAAGATGGAGGGAGTGCACCAGGAAATCTCGCACGTCCTTTTCCGTCTCTTTCTGTTGAGGAGATAAAAAAGTCACATATTTGACAAATTGTACACAGAGCATATTTTGAGACTTTAACATGAATCTAGACTAGACCCCCAAGATCCTACAAAATTCACGAAGGCATTTGGGAGAATTTTTTTGCAGGATTGAGGCAGAAGTTGCGACTGACACTTGATGGTGAACAAACCAGTGAGAATTTGGCTGCAACTCATGAATATATATATGAAGTGTGGTATTTCCGCACATACATAAAAAATAGCTAGCTAAAGAGTGGACCTAACAACTCTTGCCTCCGAAAAAAGGAGCTCCACCCACACAAACTCACCTCCTGGAACTTCATCTTGGCCTGTTGCACCAGCTCCTGTTCTCGTGCACCGTAAAGGTTCATCCCAATGGGCAGCATGCGCTTCAGACAGACCACTACTAGGCTGGTCGGCGAACCCTGACCTTCAACCCTACACTCCCTGGCTTTCTTAATGCCGGCTCCGGGGTCATCCGGTGGAGTCAGGCCCATCCTTCGGTTTGAGGTCGCGCACGCCAAGAGGGCAGCGTTCTCCGCCTCCATTTGGGCGACAAAGTTCTGCTCTTCACGACGGCAGTTCTACAAAGTGACAGTGAGATTCAAACAATTTACAAACAAATAGATTTGATCAAACCGAAGTTTGCTGAGGTAAAAGACTCAACTTGTGGCAGCGCTTTTATTGCAATGGAACAGGGTTGTGTTTATTGACCAAATTCATCTGAAGCACACAAGAAAGAAATGTATGAGATTACCATTCCCAGCATCATGTACACTCCACTTACTTAGTGAGCGATCTCTACCAGTACATTCCTTGAGAAATATATTTAAATACATGCTTGCCATCTCAGGGGGCTGGGTATTGATGAACTGAACAACCACCTCAAGAGATAATATGTGTCAATAAATAACCCCCTGTGACTAAGAATAACGCATGCTCCTATGAAATTGCCAATCAGCGACTTATCCATTTCCCATGGGCTTACATCTTGTTTCTAGTCACAGCCAAAATAGTCACGCACGTCCTTACAAATCCGAGGTTAGATTTGCTTGCATTCCTCTTTGCATCTCCTTTCAATATCCCCAAGATCATTTGTAGATAAAAGATACTGCACAAAGTGGACCAGCCTCTGACCTTGGTTAAAGTTTTGCGGGTACAAGCAAATCAGAGAGATGGACCTGTCACTGAGGCTTACAAGTGAAGACTTACCGCAGATCGTGCCCAACAACTGAAGATGCTAGAGACCTCACTAAAGAGGCTTTCGGCTTCCAAGGAAGGCATCTTAAGCCACTTGGCCCTATCAAGTCAAAAAAAGAGAAGAAATAGCTTCCAGATTCAAGGGAATACTCAGACTAAAAACCAGTACTGTCATCAGGTCCTCTGATTACCAATGAGGTTCATTCAAAAGAAACTCCTTCACCACAATTGCTTGCAATTGACTTGTAAAGTCATTTACAATTGAAGTTATTGTAAGTCTCCAGACAACTGAAGAAATCCTTTGAAAATGATCACCATTTTGCCAGACTTTTAAGATTCAGCAAAGGTACACAATGTTTACCAGCTCAGTGTTTTGATTGTCATATTTTTGAAGCATAAGCTAATATTGGTCTCTGAAGTGTTTGTAGGAGTTAAAGCAAGGTACATGTGGCTATTGCCTTGTCTGTGAATTTTGGAAGAGTTAGGAGAGTGCCTTACTTCAACATTGAAGCTGAGTTTGAGAGGAATCATCTAATTGCTAATACAGTCTACTTGGGCGCTGTCAGAGAATGAGTAAGCCGGTTCTGCATTTCAACACTGCACGCTATAAATGGAGCACACTGTCAAGTCATTCAAGACACACTGTTGGCCCCATCAGTATAGCTGTGGGCCAACTCACAAGCACTGAACCTAATCAAACCTCTGAAGTTCGGTTCTCAAATGAACTGCTAAATTTCAAGCAGCTGTGTCTGTGGTCTTTAGCTTTACTACCAAACACCTCAGAAACAGCACCCAATTTTGCAAAGCACAAAATTCTTTAAAATCTGTATAAAAAATAGGTAATCACGATAGAATGAACACAGGCAATTTCAAAATTACATATCAGGTTTTGCTTTTGATCATAAATGGCAAAAACAAATATATTGTCAGCAGGCATTCAAATGAACTTAGCCAGACCACAGCTGGACTGTTTAACAAGCTTTAGCCAAAATAAGGATGGAATGTTAGTGCTGTACCTTTGTGAGTCAACAAACTTGATGAGGAGGGGATAGAAAGCATAGATATCCCTCACTATCAGGTGATAGTCCTGTCAGATAAGAGAGACAAAATGTATGAAATATTAATCAGGTGGTTGATGTCTCCACACAGTCTATCAAGAAGAGCTTTCATTTTCTATCCGCCCGAGCTGAGGTGCACACCTAATCAGCGAAAAGAAAGACAGGTGGTTACATACGGGTTCTTGCATGCATTCAAGGTGTACGCAAAGACCATACATGCCGAAGTAAATTAGTAAGGCATACTCAGCGTGCTCCGCATCAAACGTGCATATACTTGCGCGCATCATGGTGTGCCTATGCGGTGAGTGCCAAAAAAAAAAATACCCTCTTTTGTTCCGCTTGGAGGGGATAACTTTTCAGACAAATGCTAAGATTTGAATTATATCCATTGGAATGTCTCAGAACCTTATTCACTCCTGAAAGAGGCTTACTCAATGGTGCGATCGCATGCTTCAACTCATCAGACACTGATAGTTCATAAAGCAAGAGGAATTAAAAAGTGCACACAAGACATTTTCAAAAGGACACGAGCAGTCATCAGCTGATTAAAAAGAAAGTCCCACTGGATAGAAACCAGGCCCACAAGGCCCATTTCCATGGTATTCTTAAGCACATACCACTTTGCATATAGAGCCTTTGTCCATTTCAATGAGGCAATGAGTGGAAAGCAGACAAAGAGCTACCGGTATCTAAATTCAGAGGAACGATTTCTTCTTCTCACAATAGTGTTACTGACATAACAACGGAAATCACTCATACGTGGAAGTCACAGAACCTCCTCATTCCGACTATACTTCAGGTTTGCATGACTTTTCCACTGCATCACAACATTCCGTACAGTTGTGCAGCCACATAAAGTAAACCTAGCCCCAGAGACTAAAGAAACGACCTCTGACCTCAAGAATGGCAAACTCGGCCTCCTCCATCTCGTTGCCTCCCATGGGGTACTCCTTCTTGAGGACTTCCTCTGCCGCAAAGACCGTCTCCATCTTGCCTCGCAGCTTGACAATTACTGGTAGGAAGTGGGTCTTCAGTAACTCTTCCTTTACATCATTAAGGATGGGCTGGGCATTAGCTGTGGGACAGAAAATAAACTCACTGTATCAACACGTTTTTACGATGTCATTTTTGCAAGCTTGCTGAAGATGGCAGGCTGCTTCAAGTCCATGGGTTACACAGGCACATCATTTTTGTGTCAGATGATGTTAATTTTTATATTGGGTGTTTTTCTGTTCATTGATGAGAATTTTTGCAAACATCTGTATACCTAGTGTGGTCTGCAGGATTGTGGAATAATTCACAAGCTCACTTGGGTGGCATTCAAACCCAAGACCTACTTTTTGCCAGTACGGATGTTATCAGTTGATCAACAAGCTTTCTGGGGTTAGCAGACCAGTTTGGGTCAGCCAAGCAGCAAGTACCATGAGCAAACAGGTTTCAAGATATTATTTTCATGTAAGAGAAATGAGATATTAATATAAATCTTGCCTTAAGACTACTCCTCAAGGAAATCAACAAGAGGACATTTCC